AAAAAAAAAATTTCTAAAGTAAGGCTGTGGGATGATGGCAGGAAGATAAAAGTAGAAAAACAGAAGAATAAGTTCAAGTGGCTTATTCACACATATTCTTTTGACAACAAAAAGAACTTTTAGTATATATGTTCCTTACAAACAAACAAAAGCTAAATAAACAATGTTGTATGGGAACTTCAACACACACTGTACAATATTCCCACTTTGCTGACATCAATTATGGAAATTCTTTGTGGTTTACTTGACTATCACTATCAGTATTTTGCTTCTTGGATCACTTTTATCAACTTCCTCATCTGTTAACTTCTCTTCAAGGTACGTCATATCATGACATACTGCTGCTGCATGAACATGACCAGTGTCTTCCTATTAAACATGTAGAATGCTTTCCTAATTTCTTTTTTTACCCTCTGTCTGTTTTGCATATTTCTTACCTTTATTGTCAAACTCCAGAAAGTCAGTCGTACTAATTTATCACCATTTGCTTCATTAATTTATACTTTGCTTATATGGAATTTTGCCCAACAGGCCTCATTAAAATTTCTAACCTGTTTGTTTTGTTTTGTTTCTGAGACAGTGTCTTGCTCTGTTGTCCAGGCTGGAGTGTGGTAGTGCTGTCACAGTTGACTGCAGCCTCAACCTCCCAGGCTCAAGCAATCCTCCCATCTCGGCCTCCCATGTGGCTGAGACTATAGGTGCTTGCCACTATGCCCAACTAATATTTGGAATTTTCCTATACGTGGGTTCCAGAGGGGTGACGGCGAAATGTGAGTAAGCATGGATTTTGGTATATGCAGGGATTGGGGGGCTGGAACTAATTCTGTCTGTATACTGGGAAACGACTGTATATGTTTTTACAATTGTGCTGTAGGACACATACTGTTGCATAGCCTTGAAAATAATTTTTAACTGAGTGGAATAATAATAATATTGATAAAAGTAGCAGCTGGCCAGGTGTGGTGGCTTACACCAGTCATCACAACACTTTGGGAGGCTGAGGCAGGAGGGTGGCTTGAGGCTAAGAGTTTGAGATAGGCCTCGGAAACAAAGGGAGTCACCATCCCTACAGAAAAATATGTGAATTACAAGCATGTTCCAGGGAGGCTGAGACTACAGTGAGTCATGATCAGGCATCTGCACTCCAGCCTGGGTGACAGAGTGAGACCCTGTCTCAAAACAACAAAAAAAGTAGCAGCTAACATCAACTGAGCTTTTACCAGATGCCTATTAATACCATGGTTTAATTTCTTATAATTGTTTCTTTCAGTTAACTACTCTGTCTTCAGTTACTCCCAGATTTTCACTGTGTTTGTACAGATGACCTTTTGTTTAGATTGAATTGTCACTCCAAGGTATTTCCAGAAATAAGATTACTGTGAGTCATGGTGAATGGACATTCTCATTACCCTTGATGTAAATTGACAAGGTTTTGGGTGCCTCCCAGCTATAATCTCAGCACTTTGGGAGGCTAAGACAGGAGGATTGCTTGATGCCAAGAGTTGGAGGAGGCAGTTTGGCAGTATGGTGAGACCCTGTCTCTATTATTTTAAAAAATTGTCAAGCCTTACCCTGGAAGGCTTATATACAATTTAAACACCCCTCATAGTATAAGAAAGTGCCCATTTCACTGCACTTTTGCCAGCACAGGGTACTATAATTTAATAAGTCATTTTTTGTTTGATTATTTTAAATAGGTAAAAGACC